CGACCTGAGTTACATCCCTGGTGTCTCCATCAGAGATTTTGAGGTAGAAGTTGCTGACCTGGAGGCCTCAGACATGTGGGTGAATAAGTTCAAGTCACTGAATGAAGATTTGGAAAGACTTGCACGACAGCAAGCAGAGCTGGCGAGCAAACACAAGTGGACAGAAATGAAAAAACTTCAACCCGCAGACCAGCTGATTGTCCAAACTTGGAACGCGCTTCCTGTCATATACCACACACTGCAGCGTGTGAGTATTGCCGTATTAACCATGTTTGGCTCTACGTATGCATGTGAACAGTCGTTCTCACATCTAAAAAACATCAAGACCAACCTACGATCACGTTTAACAGATGGAAGCCTCAACGCCTGCATGAAGCTTAACCTCACCACGTATCAACCAGACTACAAAGCCATCAGCAAAACCATGCAGCACCAGAAGTCACATTAATGTAATTAAAGTATTTTATTTATTATTGGTTAGCTTCAGTATAACAACGTTATTAAAAAGAATAAATTCAGAAACTTATACTTTAAAATAGTTGGTCTTACTTAAAAATGCACGCATTTAGTTATACTCAGTGTTAAAAAATATTATATGGCTCTCACGGAAATACATTTTAAAATTTGTGGCTTTCATGGCTCTCTCAGCCAAAAAGGTTCCCGGCCCCTGAAGATTAAAAATGTTACATCCACGACAGGTGTCCCTGGTCCATCCACTCCCCCTGACAGTGCTGCCGGCACCTCCACCCACTCATGTGTTCTCCGACGGACTGGTAGGCGAAGCACAGCTGTGCCCAATTAGCCTGGCTCTATTTAAGCCAGGCCTTTGTCTCTGATCATGTATTGCAGACCCTGTAAAGTCTACCGTGATTAACCTCTGACTGTTCTGTCCTAGTATGCCTTGATTCCCTGGCATTGGATGTCTCGACTCAGGCTCTGTTGGTTTCTGCAGCGGTCCTCTTTTCCAGCTAGACGCCGGTTCTACCTTCCAGACCGGGGCAGCGACCAGCCTAGTTTTCCCTGCAGATACACCGCTCTAGTGCCTTGCTTCTCCCTCGTCTCTCCAGCGCCCAGTGTCCTCTGCTCTGCCCGGTAGATGGTTTACCTCTCTGTCTGTGTAATAAACATCCGTTGTTATCTATGCCTTTGTGTGGGGCACATTGAGTCCACTTCTGTGCGGAGTTCGCTCCATCACAAAAAATAATTATGTGGTGCAGCCTTATTATTTTAATGCAGAATGTTTAACTCAAATAAATTCTGATTTGTTTATAACAAATGTGAACAAACAAAACACCTGCAGAGATAAACTAAAGTTAAAATAATCTAGAAGAACATAAGACAATTAAAGGAGAATTAAGACCTTATTATCTTATGTCTGTGCTTGATGGTTTTTTAAAATTATGTAGAATGAACCATTTTTCCTGCCCTTCGATATCCAAAAATCACTCCTCTGATCTGAGGTGGATTCAGGCCGTAAACTAAAGGATTAATAATGGGAGGAATGATCCAAAACTCCAGAGATAAAACAATAACCAAAGTATTTACTTCATCAACAATATACAAACTCAGTGAAAAATCACAGAATGGCAAGATGCAGTAGTTCCCAACAGTCACGATGTGGGGCAGACAGGTCTGTAAGGCTTTTCCTCTGAATTCAGATGAACTTCTCCTGCAGACAAGCAGAATGCACAGGTAGGTGTACAGGACAAAGAACGGGGATGAAGACTGATGTCACAGCAAAAATCTGACTTCCCATGTTCTTTAGAGTTGTGCAGGAGAGCTTAGTTATAACCCAGATGGTGCAAGAAATCCCATGAAGCTGATTTTCACACAAAGGCAAACTGCTGATGTGACAAAGGAGCCCAAGACACACACAGCGTACCGCACAGCAAGAATCAAAAGCAGCAGCACCTGAGGAAGAACCTGGTCGAGCCATAGAGAGAGTGTAAACACATGAAATTAAAATTTTGTTAAACGTATGTATAACTAATGCCCATCTTCTGTTGCTGTTACTCAGCGAGAAAAGCAGCAAATAATCTGATTTATTGGTCATGAAAGTTTTTAATATACTGTATGTCATTATCTAGAGCACATGACATGGCCACACATGGAACCAGAGAAGATTATATCCAGAGGAAATAAGCTTTAATGTAAATTAAAATACCACTATTGTTGTACCATGTATATAAAACATAATCATTGATGCCTCTCAGTGTGGTTTATTTTAAGGCTGCATCTATTTTCTTCACATATTTTGTTCAAAACAAATGTGAGCAAACAAAATGTTTGTACAGACAAACTAGAGTTACAATATCCCAGAATACAGAGGCACATAATGTGAATAACAGAGTTATGGGATCTTAACTCCTGTACTTGATGGGCTTTTGAATTACACTGGATGAAGCCTTTTTCCTATATTTAGAAATCCAGAAATCACTCCTCTGATCTGAGGCAGATTCAGGCCATAAACTACAGGGTTCATGATGGGAGGAATGATCCAAAACTCCAGAGATAAAACAATAGAAAATGTATTTACTTCATCAACATTATACAAACTCAGTGAAAACTCACAGAACAGAGAAATGCAAAAGTTCCCAAAAGTCACCATGTGGGGCAGGCAGGTCTGTAAGGCCTTTCCTCTGAATTCAGATGAACTTCTCCTGCAGACAAGCAGAATTCACAGGTAGGTGTACAGGACAAAGAACAGGGGTGTAAAGATTGATATCATGGTAACAAACTGACTTGATATACTGATCACAGTTGTGTCCACACAGGAGAGATTAATTATAGACACGGTGGTGCAAAAAATCTTATGAAGTTGATTTCCACATAAAGGCAAACTGCTGGCCTGATAAAAAAAGTATCCAAAAGCCCAAACAGGATACAGCACAGCAAGAATCAAAAGCAGCAGCACCGTCCTAAATGTCATTTTACTGTGATAGTGTAAAGGCTGGCAAATAGCAACAAACCTATCATAGGCCATGACAGTGAGGAGAGTCAACTCTTGTTCTAGACAGGTGTTAGTAATGTACATCTGAATGAAACAGAGCAGACGTGAGATGAAATGAGTGTCAGACAGAAGGTCCATCAGGAACCTGGGGAAGAAGCCGGTCGAGCCGTACAGAGAGTTTAAACACAGAGAGCAGATGAAAATGTACATGGGCTGATGCAGAGAGGTCTCCAGGCAGACTGACAGAACAATGACAAGATTAGCAGAGATTATAGTCACGTAGATCAACAGAGAGAGACTGAAGAAAAGATATCTGAGGGGCCCATAGTCTGCAAACACAGTGAACTGAAAATAGGAGGGAGTCAGGCTGTTGTTGCTCTTCATGTC